AAAAAAAAAAAAAAAAAAAAAAAAAAAAAAAAAACACTAAGATTCTTTGACAAATTGAAATTTTTTGCACAAAAACCGAAGAACAGCCTAATTGACACATTAAAAAATTTCTGACATATTGTTATCATTCAATAATCGTTGATTTTGGTTGCCAAAAATGTATTTTTTATTGTTCTGACTCTGAAAAAAGACAAAATAATACGAATATATTCCTGCCAACAGATCACAAAGGTTTAGCAAAGACCTTCCTCTTCATCCACCTTAACTTTATATCTTCAGAAGGTTTAAATATAGTAGATAATAATACCTTTTTTTCTTCCCCTTAATTCTTTTTTCTTTTTTTTTTTTTTTTAAAGTTCAAAGAACTTGTTCGTCAGTGTTCTGAAATAAATGATCTCGAACAAAATTTTGAATTACCAAGATACTTTTTTTTCCATGCAAATATTGTTTTCCGATATATTTTAATAGCAGTGAAATATTTCGAAACGACCAAATGTACTTTAATTTATTTTTGCATTCTTCAACTTTTTTTTATTATTCTTGTTAACTTTTTTTTCTGCATATAAACTTTAAATTTACACAAATTTGTTTCATTCCATACCTACAGTATGAAAAAAAAAGTATTTTTTTTCATTAAAGTACCGCCTAACAGTAGCATTTTGAACGCATCTTGATGCAAAAATAAAAGTAAAGACCAATCTTCTTACTCTTTCTTTTCTTTTTTTTTTTTCTTGAACAATTCACGAAAAATTAATGCTTAATCCCTGCCATATATCAGAAAAGAAAAATTTTGTACAAGTAGTTCAAAATCGAGTAAAAGAAACAATTTCTTCATTGAGACTATGTCTGGACAGAATACCAGCAATTTCTTTTTGGTTTTAAAATTTCCGGCAAAACGGCTAGTTTTGCTACCTAATTAATTAGAGAAAAATTTTGTGAACACCATTGAATAACCAGTTTACCAGGTTTAACAAGTATGAGTACGCAAAATTCCGGTACCCAAAATTTACTGAAACTAATCTATTTCAATAGCAAAAAAAGTTGTTAATGAAATAAGTAATAGTATTACATTACTATTACACATATAGCTATTAACCAACCATGCTGGAAATAAGTGCTCTCCTACTTTAAACTACATACGAATTTCAAAAAATTAATGCAGTTTCTTCATTTCGTGCAAAACTGTTTCTTCAAAATGGTTACGTAATAGTTCTAAATACAGTTCTCCAACCAATAACTCAACATCTCAGTCATTTACTTTTTACTAAGAAAAATCTTTCCAAGTAATAACCCGAACCAAGCATGATCACCATCTGGTTATGGTTTTTAATAATACAAACAATAGCTGTTCTGCTGCTTCTAAACATATATACCAACTAATACATTGAAATATAAGATCAAAACAAAAATTTTCACGACGATCTAATCTTATACGACGGAATGGGCCCAGTGGATTCTTAAATTGTGAAATTTAGCAACCAAAAGCAACATGTGCAAATATATACAAATTAGTGAAAAAACCGGATATTATTGTTGAGGAAATATGCAAAGTTACCTCTCCGCAACAGTGAAGTGGAACCTTTTCGCGATCTTATGAACAAATGACTGGTACTTTTCCAACGGCACATAGTCATAGCCCTGTAACCGAACATTCAGCAGCTCATATTCCGGGAACTCTCTTTTGTCTTCAAATTTTGGCTCATACAAATACCGTGGCTCAATCTTAATGGCCTTATCTCGCAAAGTGGCAAAATAACAGCAGT